TGTGATCGAAATTTTAGAGTGTCAAAGTGTTAGAAAATTACTTTGGGTCATCAAAGTAAAAAAATGCGCAAACTTTTGGGCACTAAAGTGAAAATTAACTCATAAAAAATTAATGGAAAATATAAAATATAAAATAATTTATTATTATGTTTGAGGGCATTTTCACATTCCTTGGTAACATACTTGGATCGTTGACATATTAGGCTTGGCGGCATTGCTGGATCGAGGGTGTGTTGAAGTAAATAATATTCAAAGTGCTTACTAGACTAAAATAAATTTGGGAAAAATGTGTCCAGGCCCTAAAAACAGAAACTTCATGTGACGAGACCCTTTGTATTTTGCCCCATGTGGATAAGTCCCAAATATACACAGTATTTGTGACGAGGCCCCAAAGTATCGAATTTCAAAAAAAGCCCAGTGGAAGTTATGAATTTGCCCATTTGATGGGACTGAACTCGGTTACTGTGCCCCTCCCTGTTTATTCCCAATTTCTCCATCATTAATCTCATCTCTCTCTCTCTCTCTCTCTCTCTCTCTCTCTCTCTCTCTCTCTCTCACTTCCGTCAGGGCCATTGAAAATGATCAGGCCATGGGGAAGTCGTGAGATTGGAGACGTGATCAGGCCTAAGGGCTGGGCCGTTTGGGATGGGGCCGACTTCCACCAGACTTGCTATTATACCGAGGACAATAACATGGGGCCCAACGACGACCCCAAGCCCAGGGCCGAGTGGGTCAAGAAGCACGAGCCCATCAACAAGAAGGAGACGTTCCTCTTCCTGATCGAGGACTGGCTGGGGGACGTCACTTGGCTGAGGGACGCCCGGGCCAAGTTCATCGACGAATTCGTCAAGAGCTAGTTAGTTTAATCAAATCGCTAGCTAGGTTGTTAATTAAATGCTCGATTGGCTTGGACCCGCCGTGCATCAAGCACGTTGGGTTTTAATTTGTTACCTTGAATTTTTATTAATTGTTTTGTCATAAAATTTTTTAAAACATTTTATTTATAATTGTTTCCGAAAATTATAAATGAACGGTGAGGTGAATTCCTCCCTTTTTTTTATTGTTGTTATTGCTATTTTATTATCAGTTCTTTCTTTAATTTGTTGTGGACATGGCCGAAGCGCTTACTAGGACTAAGATCGCAAGGCAACAATATCAAACAATAATAGAAAAGAACTATGCGTGTTAGTTCTAACTTCCAGCTAGTGTTATTTCTAATATAAGCATTAGTTCTAGTGGCATGTTAGTTCTAGTTGTTCTCGTGATAGTTCTAACTGATGTCATATTAGTTCTAATTTCCAGCTAGTGTTATTTCTAATATAAACGTTAGTTCTAGTGGTGTGTTAATTCTAGTTGAGCCCCTGTTAATTCTAGTGATTCTCGTGTTAGTTCTAGCTGATGTCATGTTAGTTCTAACTTCTAGCTAGTGTTATTTCTAATATAAGCGATAGTTTTAGTGGTATGTTAGTTCTAGTTAAGCCCCTGTTAGTTCTAGTTGTTCTCGTGTAAGTTTTAGTTGATGTCATGTTAGTTCTTACTTCCAGCTAGTGTTATTTCTAATATAAGCGTTAGTTCTAGTGGTATGTTAGTTTTAGTTGAGCCCATATTAGTTCTAGTTATCCTCGTGTTAGTTCTAGCTGACGTCATGTTAGTTCTTACTTCCAGCTAGTATTATTTTTATTATAAACATTATTTCTATTATAAGCGTTATTTCTAGTGGTATGTTAGTTCTAGTTGAGCTCCTGTTAGTTTTGATGGTTCTCGTGTTAGTTTTAGCTGATGTCATTTTGGTTCTACTTCCAACTAGTGTTGGTTCTAATATAAACGTTAGTTCTAGTAGCTATGTTAGTTCTAGTTAAGCCCATGTTAGTTCTGTTGGTTCTCGTGTTAGTTCTAGCTGATGTCATGTTAGTTCTAACTTTCAGCTAGTGTTATTTCTAATATAAGCGTTAGTTCTAGTGGTATGTTAGTTCTAGTTGAGCTCCTGTTAGTTCTGGTAGTTCTCTTGTTAGTTCTAAATTGAAGCTAGTGTTGGTTCTAATTTAAGCGTTAGTTCTATTGGCTATGTTAGTTCTAGTTGAGCCCATGTTAGTTTTGGTGGTTCTCGTACTAGTTCTACCTGATGTCATGTTAGTTCTAACTTCCAGCTAGTGTTATTTCTAATATAAGCGTTAGTTTTAGTGGTCTGTTAGTTCTAGTTGAGCCCATGTTAGTTCTAGTGGCTCTCGTGTTAGTTCTATCTGATGTCGTGTTAGTTCTAAATTGCAGCTAGTGTTATTTCTAATTTAAGCGTTAGTTCTAGTGGCTATGTTAGTTCTAATTGAGCCCATGTTAGTTCTGGTGGTTCTCGTATTAGTTCTAGCTGATGTCATGTTAGTTCTAACTTCCAGGTAGTGTTATTTCTAATATAAGCGTTAGTTCTAGTGGTATGTTAGTTCTAGTTGAGTCCCTGTTAGTTCTAGTGGCTCTCGTGTTAGTTCTATCTAATGTCGTGTTGGTTCTACTTCCAGCTAGTGTTGGTTCTAATATAAGCGTTAGTTCTAGTTGTTATGTTAGTTCTAGTTGAGCCCATGTTAGTTCTGGTGGTTCTCGTGTTAGTTCTAGCTGATGTCATATTAGTTCTAACTTCCAGCTAGTGTTATTTCTAATATAAACGTTAGTCTGTTAGTTCTAGTTGAGTCCATGTTAGTTCTAGTGGCTCTCGTGTTAGTTCTATCTAATGTCGTGCTAGTTCTAAATTGCAGCTAGTGTTATTTCTAATTTAAGCGTTAGTTCTAGTGGCTATGTTAGTTCTAGTTGAGCCTATGTTAGTTCTGGTGGTTCTCGTGTTAGTTCTAGCTGATGTCATGTTAGTTCTAACTTCCAGCTAGTGTTATTTCTAGTATAAGTGTTAGTTCTAGTTGAGCCCCTGTTAGTTCTAGTGGTTCTTGTGTTAGTTCTATCCGATATCGTATTAGTTCTAAATTATAACTGGTGTTATTTCTAATTTAAGCGTTAGTTCTAGTGAGTTAAGTTAGAACTAACATGAAGTGAGTTAGAACCAACATAAAATGAGTTAGAACTAACAAAGAGCCCAAGAGGCCCAATGCCCAATGCCAAATCAAACACCTTTAAATATATATTGTAGCTCTAGGGGTTTGAACTCCTGATCTCCTCTCCAAATTACCAAGTTTTACCACTAGACCAAGTAGCCAAAGTATTAATATTAGTTCCACTTAAAGTTAGCTCTTACTTGCCATTAGAACTAACATGAAATAAGTTAGAACTAACATTAAATAACCTAGAACTAACATGAGTTATTGTTCGTGATAGAGTTTAAAAAAGGGCGGGAAATTTCCCTCCATTTTTTAGTCAGATCGCATTAATGGGACATGATTTTTCATGTTTTTGGGAACCAGAGGCGTATGGGGAAGATAAGTGGAGGGGCAATATCAGTTTTTTTTCAAAGTACAATCTCTTTTTTTATACTGCTGACATGGAGGGGCCTTGAAACATTAAATGCTACTTTTTAGGGCTGAATCACATGGGCCAAAATACAAGGCGCTGGGTCACATGGAGTTCCTACTTTTGGGGCCCCGACACAATTTTTCCAAGAAATTTACAGGGATTATGCCCAAAGGCAAGGGGAAGGGGGTTTTCTAAAAACCTCCCTAAGGGACTTTCTAAAATTAATACTATTTTAATTTGTATAAACTATATCATATATATAGCATAGAGAAAAAAAAACAAGATACTCTTATAAAATTTAAAAACCAACTAAGTGCATTTTGGATTCGATAAAACTTGTTTAATTCATTGTCTTCCAATCTTAACAACTCTATATGTTCTTTTACATAAACAAATATTATTCCTCATTTACTGAGCTATTCGCGTACCAAAGTCAACTAGTCGTGAACACCGTGCAAAGTACGATATATTATTTTTTTCCCGCTACAATAATCCTGATTTTTAAATGCTGCAGTAATATTTTTTAGATTTTTTAAATTGCTATAGTTCCCGCATCTGCTACAGTTTTTTAAATGTTACAGTTTTTCCGTGTGCTAAAGTGATATTTTTTCAAAATTGCTATAGTATCCAGTTTCATGTTTGCTGCAGTAATAATGCTACAATAAATGCTACTGTAGTATTTACTGTGACATGAATAATGAATCATGAGTTCTCCCATTTGTATAGAGGAATAGATAAGTCATCAACTAACCAAACAAAGCTTTTTTGTACATTACAACCTTAAAAATCTTTCATACTTTGAATTAGTACTTCAAATCAAATTACTAAAATTGCTTAAGGCCCCTCAATTCTTTAGCTCTCTTGAAATTAATCCCTTATGCCATTGAAATTGCTGTTAGCTTTTCCAACTCTTGAGTTATTTTGAAATTATTTCTTCTAGTGAGGAGCAGAATCAGCAATTTGGGGGACCTATTTGAAGAAAATTATGAGAATGGAGGCCTAAGTGAAACTTCGACGGCGACAACTCTATAGAGCACGCACGTGCAAAGCACTCCCTAGAATTTACAGAAAGAGTTAGGCTCTGTTTGGCAAAATTAACTGTGAAAGCTACGAGATTATAGCTGAAAGCTGTAAAATTGTAGCTGAAAACTGTTAGTTGTGTAGCTAGCTGATTGACTAGAGCTGTTTGGTAAAAGTAGCTGTACAACTAGTTTAAATTTGTTAAATGACTAAAAAAGACATGCAATATTATAAAATTAGAATTATTAGGGGCAAAAACAGAAGAAAAAAATTAACAGCTCCTTCCCAAAGACAAACGCTATAAAATTAGAATTATTAGGGGCAAAAACAGAAGAAAAAAATTAACAGCTCCTTCCCAAAGACAAACGCTACTTGAGATAGCTTTCTAAAAACTACTTGCAAAAGACACAATTTCCAAAATAATATTAGTTTATTGACCAAACCAACAAGACACGACCTTTTAGAGAAGACGCTCTTTTTGCCCCCATTCTTACCTCTGCCGCTCTTCCTAAATCGTCCTCTGTCTGTCGATCTCGGCGATCCGCCCCTCCATCGGTCTCGATATCTCACCTCCTCATATCTCGATCTCTCATCTCCTCGGTCTCTCAGCTCTCCTCAGCTTTCTTCACCCGGATTTCGATTTCGAAAACCCTAGAATTCGTCTTCGAGTCCACGAGCAAGGTCGATTTGATACAAGGGAAGCCCTAGCGATCCTCTCAACCTCGATCTTCATCCAATCTGAAGTAAGTTCATGAATTCATCATGGGCCGTGATTATTTAAGTATGTTTTTAGAATTTTCTGCATGGATCGATTGATTTTTCAGAAAAAAATATGCTAGATTTGATCAATTGGTTACTGATCTTTTCCATTCATTGCTCGTGGACTGGTACTAGCTTGATAATATCTAGGCGCCGCCTATGCGTCTAAAATTATGATTAGTTTCTCAATTATGATTGATTTGATCATTTGGACTGGTACTAGCTTGATAATATCCGTGCAAAATAAACACTGTTTGCACTCTGAGGAGGTTCAAGCAAGTTAATGAATATCTGCAAAGAATTCTAGTTCTTGATTTGCACTGCACATCCTTTTGCTATTTGAAATAAATTTTATGATATAACAATAACCTTAACACCTTGTTTGGATTGAGGGGAATAAGGGAGAAGGGAAGTTAGGGGAACCATTCACCTTGTTTGGGAACATTTAGGAGGTGAAGTTATTCATCTAGTTCCCCTTAGTTCACCCCTTAATAGTATAAAATTTGTTACCCCAAATTGGGTGTAACCAAGGGGAAGGGAACTCCCTTCCCTTCCCTTCTCTTCTCTCACCTAGTTTCCCTTAACTTCCCTTAACCCCATTGAAATTCAAATTAGAATTTTTGGGTACTTGTCATATGCATTAAAGTTTCCGATACACTTATTATCATGGGTTGATTTGACAAGTGATAACATAGCTTGTGATGATATTTTAACGAACAACTTTATAATTGTCATAGATATGAAATGATTAAATTTAAATTTTACTAACTATCCTTGGCCTTGTTATTTGTCTTTGTATTGTGAGATCTCTGATCAATTTCTATTTTCATTTTAGTTTTTGATCAATTTCTCCACAATTCCTTTTATTATAACTTTAATTGATGTCAATTGTTACTCAAATTTGCTCTTTGTTTGTTAGATGTTAATTTGGAGCTGATGCTTATTTATGTATTTCTAGTTAAAATCATACGTCCTCTCTCAGTGAGCACTGCCTCCTCCTAATTGGACTCGAGCAGATTAGGTCAAGGTATATTTTCTTGGTTATTTTATGCTTATTTTAGGTTCATTTTCTAGGGCTTAATCTGTCACTTAGTGCCCACGTTGACTCCATTTTTGGCCTAATCATATGATTTGAATTGTTAAATATAAAACAAGAACAATGAAGAGTTACTTGACAACTGTTAAATAAAGCGGTGTGCATGCTATTTTTGTTTTTCATGTTGCTTTGGTGTGTACTATTTTTATTCTCTGGATAATGTTGAAGTGTTATGACTTAGGTTTGATTTCTTTGTGATAACTTGTGGATTATCAACCACCTTATTGGAGGTTTAACATTCTTTTATGTTATGTAATCTGAACCTAGTATTATATATTTGATTGTATCTATGTTTGATGCATGTTATGTTAATGCAAGGCTATTAATGGCATTATCAATGTTACAGAAGGCGCTAGACAGACTAGGCGTTTAAGCCAGCACCTAGTAGCCCAGACGCCTAAGCGTGCTCCTAGGCGGCGCCTAGGTGTTTGGCTATTTTTAAATTATTTAATTATAATAATTGATAAAATATATATTACATTCATATTATTTACAAAAAATATAGATAGCAACCTTAGATCCACAATAAATCATACATACTTAAATACTAAATAGCTAAAATAATAACTAACAATGTTATAGAAAGCATTAGGAGGCCTAGGCATTGGACTCGTCGCTTAGAGCCAATGAGGTTTACTTTTTTATTTTCTAATTACAATAGTTGATAGTAAATGTTAATGCTATAGAAAGCTTAGGTGCCGGACTGGTGTCTAGACGAATTTATTTTTTCATTTAAGTGGTGGTTGAGGAGGTTTTGCTGAAGGTCGTAGGAGGTAATGGAAGTGTTCATATTTGGAGGTAAAAGGAGTTTGAAAGAGGTTAGAGGACATGAAGGATGCAATACAAAAAATCACAATAAAGGCCTAAAGGGTGCAATGCACATAAGTAGACAATACTCCTCTAAACACTCCCAAAACCTAGGGGCAACTTAGGTACCACCTAGACGTTAGGCGCTAGTTAGGCGACCTAGGTACCGCCTAGGGGACTAGACAAAGGCTTTTTAAAACAGTGGGCATTATACAATCCAAGAATGCATTGATCATTAATTTGTTGCCTACTTACCTAGACTATAAATCACTTTATGGTTAATACCTGATCACCTTTATGTTGATGCTTGTTACGTTAATGCAAGGTTCTTACTTGAATTTTTTCTAGTTTCATAAAATAACTAAAACGTAGAGGAGATGGCTTGTGATTCAGGGTATAAAGATTGAGACTATTCTTTAAGGTTTTGAATGTTACATATGCAAGTTACATATTTATTAAAATGGTTGGTATAGGTAAATTCATATTTGGAAGATTACAGTCCTTAGAAGTGAAGTATAGTTGGTTTCCTGGTAATGATCACTTCCCATGATTTTTTGATCTATACCCAGGAATTCATCCTTGGGTACTGCCCCATTTTGCAGTAGTGACAGCAAAACTTCATGAACTTTACTCAAAAAATAGTCACTGACTGCAATACACAAAAGATAATTGTGCTTATGGAAATACCCGAGTATCTTGTCATTTTATCTTGTCATTTTATCTTGTTCCCTTTTAATAAATGACTAATGCACAAAATAGAGAATTATACAAGATTAGCAAGAATAGAATATGATATAAATATGGTGCGAGACACTGTGATTTAGTGCAATTTATCTTATATCAATCTAACAAATCAATATAGTTAATCCCCAATATATATCTAATGTATAGCACTGGATTACCATCCATAAATAATTAGATGTTTGGTTTTGCAAAGTATCCTGCAAACTATTGCGTACTAAAATGTCAAACTTAAAAGAGTTCATTCATATAACAAATGATGAAGAGATTGTTTGTCTATTATTCAACCCAAAAGTAAGATCAGAAAAATATGTTTCCTTGTTTAGCACATGAGCTTTCTTCCATACTTAGCTCATTTCTGCCTACCAATGAGAAAATATATATAATATATATAGTTTTAATTATTTAATAGAGTGTCACAACTAAGGTTCCAACCTAATGTCAGGACAACATTTTAGCGGAGCTACAACAAAGATACAATCAAATTAACAATGAAAAATAGAGTATAAACTAAATAAGATAAGTTGAATTATACATGAATACAATATAAGCAATGAAGTATCAAATTTGTTAAAAATATAATACAGGAAAACTAAATCACACAAAAAAATAAAAAAATTGAGGAGAATCTTATAGTTAGACAACTTAAACAAAAGAATATGAGAGTTATTCAAAGAAGAGACCAGTTTACCTGCGGCAGAATGAAGTGGGTATCCAACAAACTCAAGAATGATTTCTAAATTTGAAATACACATGAAGAAACCAAAGGAGTTTAGCCATCCAGTAAAACTTTATTTGTAAATGTTTACATTTAATTTTCAGTGAAGTTGTTTTTTTTGGGAATGCTGTATTTGAATAGCTAATTGGAAATAAACAGAAAAGGCCAACGAGAAAGAAACTGATAGGGTAGCCGCTTTAATTCATGCATTTACTTAGAAAGAGAGTTAATTAGACGGAAGAAATCATATGGCTTAATTAGATACGAAAAAAATTAGTTAGAGGGAAGATTGATAGTGAAAGACTACAAAATATGAAATAAAGAGTTTATTTGGAAAGAGACTAAAAGTGAATTCAATTCATGCATTAAATTACAGAAAAAGAGTTAACTAGGTGGCAGCCACATGGCCTTAATGAGGTGCGAAAAAAAGTTTTTTTTTTTTTTTTTGGGGGGGGGGGGGATTCTAGTTCCCTCCAAAAATTTTCAATGCCATCAACATCGGCGGTAATAGTTTTTCGGCGTTTGTTCATGAGCGTTACTTTTGACCAAGATTTTTTTTGAACTCCCATTTTTAAAAGGAGAATGATCTGTTTTTAGTAGTAGAAGAATTGGATCTTTTGGTTTAATAAAGAGCAAATTTTTAGATTGATTAGAAAGAATACAACCACACTAAGAATATGTTACGACTAATCTAAATCCTTCGTTACTTCTCGCCACCTTTTCTCGTGGTAGAAAAGTGGTAGGGGTAATTGTGGAGAATTCCACTTTTATCGAGCATAAATTAAAATGAAAGAAAAAACATTAAAAAACAATAACGAAATTATCATAAAAATTTGAGACCAGCTATATGAATCTTGTTCTTTCATCATTTCTATTCTGGACCAGCCAAGGGAGCCTTGGCCACACCTTGAACTATATAGAAGAACAAACATATAAGGTTTGTTTGCTAAAATGGTAATTTATATGGAGTAAATGCATAAGATATCTCAACATTTTCAAACTTAATCCTCTTAATTCCTCTCTCTATTAACTTGAATGTAACTATAGATTTTATTTCTAAGAGTTGAACAACTATTTTAATAATTGCAATATAAATGTTGTTTGATATCTATAGTGAAAAATATATATTTCATAACATTGATGAGGAAGATGTCATGAAACAGTTTCAAGAATGAAGGCAAAATGAATGTTATTGTAAACACTATGTTTAAATTTAAAATATGTTTTTAAAAAGCATTATTGTATAATGATGTTTAGATGCTAAATAAATGTGCGAATTTTTTGATATGTTATCGTGTTTAATTATTTTTTAGACTCTTAAGACTAACTATTTTTTGGACCCCTCTCAACATAATTCCTGGCTCCGCCACTATTTAGGATATCTTTGTTGTTAAATTGTTATTAATTATTATAAATCTCAATTAAATTCCTAATCTTTTGGTGAATGGGCCCTAATCGGGTTAGGTCCCTAAATCCATAGTTAGACAGTATGTGGTATGTAGTGAGTCACGGTATGAATTCGGGTACACAATTCGACATTTAGAAAATTTCGATTCGTTAGGAGATAGCTTGCTTCAGTACGCAAGTTCGGTTACTCGTAGGTTGTAAATTTTTTTAGGATGCGCTTAAAGTTTTTCAAAGTGTATAGTATAAAACTAGAAAAACTAATTGGGAATTTTAATATTTTTTCATACAAAATACTTAAATACTTCTTTTTGATGGAGTTTATTTCTTTGTTTTGTTTATTTTTCATCGAGCTCGTTTTAGGATCATGGTTTCATTTTACATTTAATTAACATACGTGTTTAGTTATAGTAAAGTCATTGGCTCATACACTGTTATTTGTCTCCCTTCACTTAATTGCAAATATTGCATTGCGTCTTGTGCGCGTGCACTTAAAAAGATTTTGTATCTAGCATACTTGTAAGTAGTACACTAATTTTGGAGAACCAGTTCATGTATCGGAGCGAATCTGTTCGCAGATGTACCGGGACTCGGTTCGCAGGAACCGTACGATAGTTCAAGGGGGGTTCTAGGGATTCGCGCAACGATGCCTAAATCTTTATTTGACCCATTTATACTATGTTATATTATATTTGGTTTTTATATGAAAATCACTTTAACATTTGCCCAGCCTGTAACTTACCATCTTTATTTTTTTTATTGTAAACCACCATAGTTTGGTTACATGTTCTCAATGTCACACCTTTGTTACTATTCTGCCAAAAAATTTAAAAATACCCAATTTACCCCTTTCCTCTCTCCACTTTCTTCCTTCTTTCCTCTCTCCCCTCATTGCCTCCCCTTTCCCCTCACCGTCCTCCCCTACCTGATCCCTTCCCTTTCCTCTCCATCTCCTGTTTTTCATTCACTTCCTCCACCTCTAGGGTTTCTCCAAACCTTAATTTCTTTTCTCCTCTCCTCCCCCTCTAATGTCCCCCTCCACCTTCTCCCTTTCCTCTTCTCTTCCTCTCCCCGTCTTCCTTTATTTCTAGAGTTTCTCAAGATCCTAGCCCCTTTCCTTCTTTCCTCACCCTCCCCCTCCCTTATCCCGTCCCCTCGTCCTCCAATCTCACCTTCCTCACCTTCCCCTCTTCCTTCATCTCCTCTCTCTCCACTCCCGTCATTGACTTGCTTCCCTCCTCTCCTGTTAGCGACTTCACCAACTTTCCTCCCCCTCTCTTCTTCCTCTCTTTCAATGTTTTAAAAAGTCTCCGCTTAGTTCGTCTAGGCGTACGCCTAAGCTAAGGCAGTACCTTGACCTCCTACCTAGTGCCTAGCATCTAGGCAATACATAGGTTGCCCGGAGTGCCTGAGGGAGTGTGATTTGTCTATATGAACTGCATGCTTCAGGCATTATTCATGATTTCCTTCATTGCAACTTCCACGTCCTCCAAACTCCAACTATGGACACATCCTCTACCTCTTTCAATTTTGGAACAAAACATCAGCCACCACCCCTTAAGAAATCTACCTAGGTGTTAGTCCAGCGTCTAAGCTTTCTATAACATTAAAATTTACTATCAGTAATTATAATTAAAAATTTAAAAATAGGAAAACGTGTAAGCTGAGCCTAGGCTCTAGGTGTCGAGTCCAATACGTAGACCCCTTAGCGCTTTCTGAAACCTTGCTCTCTTCCCCTCTCCTTCTCCTCTCCTTTTCTATCCGGGGGCTAGATTGAGGGGTATTATGATAGTTTCATATTTTTTAAAAATAGAAAATACCAAAAAATGGAGAAATTCTTGGCTACTCAATGAGTACCAAGGTGTCATGCTCTAGCTCAATTAAAAGCTGACACCTGTTCCTTGTTAATTTCGGTCACCTCCCCCATCATTCTTGTATTCCTTTGCCTCTAATTAAGACTAATTTGCTTCACTGCCTCCCTTTTCATGTCCATGTCCTCCACCGCCACACCCTCCGCCAGTACCTCCGGTATCGGCCCCACCTCCACTTCCATACCCCTTCAATGCTCTCCTTCGACACCACGTCCACCTCCACTCCCTTCGACACCATCACTGACATGCGCTTCTCTTTCTTCTCCTCCCGCTCCATAATCACCGTCCTTTCCAAACTCACCATTTTAACCTCCGGCGTGCCCGCCACCACCTCCACCACCTCCATGGGCCCCACGGCCCTATATCGGCCTCCGCTTCCGCTCTCGCCTCACTGTCGTACTCAACACCACTATATGATGAATGCTATGGGCCGGAGTCTTGGAGCAGTTGGATGATTCCTATCTATAGTATTTTAATCACTTAAGAACAATAAGAATTTCTCTTTTGCAAAAAAGAATTTATTCACTATCAACTCTGAAAATAATGTTTAAGCTTGGAAATTTTGGCAGGGAGGTTTGAATGATTTCCTTGAGATCCTAGACCTCAAATATATGCATGTAGTCTATTTTTGAGTTGTGTAATGGTTAAAGTTAGTTATGTTTAGGTAAGTTTATAAGAGTCATGTGAATGTTAAAAGCAACCATTTCATAAAACAAGATTCATATAGCAGAAAAACTAAATGCAAACACAAATCCAAGTAAGAAATTCAAAATCTTAGTATTACAAATGAAACAATATCAAACTCATTCAATCAACATAGCCTGCAAAAAAAAAAAAAAAAATTGAAACAGAGAGCTCTTATAAAAACAGTAAGCCTCATTATAGAATTATTTATACTCCTAACAATAATTGATAGATCAATAGATGTTAAGCATAATTTGAATTCCTTTGAACTCATTCTTGCAAAGGAAGACATCTGTAGAGTGTAGACTCTTTAATCCCATTTGAAATGTGGACAAGAGGCACAAAACCATTACTTAGAGAAAGTGCCATGGAAACAAACAGAACAACTTAAAAGGAATCCTTAAAAATTAGAATGCAAGTCTAATGAGAAGGCAAGAGGAAAGGCAAGAAAGAAAGAGTAGAGGAAGATGAATGGACGCAAAGAGAAGAGGATGGGTGTTGGAAGAATAGCTATTTTACTTTATTTATCCATTTGGATTTTTGGTGGAGGTGGTAGAGGTGGCAGTAGGGATGCCAAGGGTATGGTGGTTAGTCCGAAGAGGGCGCTGCTTATGGAGGTGTTGTAGGACATTGGAGAGTCCAGAGGGTACGATGGTGGGGATGCTGGAGGGTACATTGGAGGTGCTGTAGGAGGGTGTGGCGGTGGAGAAGGACATGAAATGGAGGCGGTGGAGCATGTTAGACTTAATTAGAGGCGAAGGAATAGGAGAATGCTGGGGAGGTGACTTTAATGAGGGTCAGGTGTCATTTTTTGGTTGAGCTGAAGCATGACACCTTGGTACACATTTGAATAGCTAAGAATTTCTCCAAAAAGTGTGACATTGAGAACATGCAAACAAACTAAAGGTGATTTACAAAAAAAAGGTGATAAGTTACAATTTGGGCATAAGGTTTAATGTAAAAATCCTATTATATTTTTAGCACTTCTGATTGAACATGGGTTTCGAGTTCTGTCAACCGGATACACTATGCTTTTTACAGTGGAGAGTTGAGAGCCTAACATCCTGATGAGGATGACGAAGCTGCCCTTTATTCTCTTGTCAAGCTCAACAGCAACAACATTGACCAAATTATCCTCTGTAATCTACCAAAATAACAGTGATTCTTCCAGCCATTGAAGTCTCTAAGCTCCTGCAAAAAATTCCCATAAAAAATGGGAAGAACAGAAACCCTAACCGTAGCAGCCTTCTCTTCCTCCTCCTCTTTAGATATGAATCCCCCATCAGAGGACGCCTGGATTGATGCCCATCATAGATTGCGCTCTCAATGGAACAACTTATCTCAGGTAATTTCTTTTTCCTCTTTTCTATTTTGTAATGGAATACTTAAAGGTTGAACTTTCTCATTAATCTGCATATTTTGCAGCCACCTATAGAGATTTCGATATCGAGAGTTAACCAATTTGACGCAGCAAGATTAGATGTTGAGATGTCCGCCATGTTGAAAGAGCAACTAGTCAAGGTCTTCTCTTTAATGAAGGTATTCTCTTTTTTTATCAATTTTTTTCCTTTTTGAAATTTGTTGGATTTAGTAGTTACATTCTTTTTGCTATTGATTATGTTGCTTGGGAATTAGCCAGGGTTTTTATTCCAATACGAGCCGGAACTCGATGCATTTCTCGAGTTCCTTATTTGGAGGTTTTCGATATGGGTGGATAAGCCCACACCAGGGAATGCACTGATGAATTTGAGGTATAGGGATGAAAGTGCAGTGATCAGCTGGGGGAAGGAAGGTTAGTAGTCATTTTTCCTTCTTGTTGCTCACTAGATAATGTTTTTGCCATGATTAATTTATCAGAAAGCTTAATTGTTCATCGGGAGTTCATAATTTCCTATGAGATTATAAAAGGTTGTTATTGAACATAAAATTAGACAGTGGTTGGAATCTTGTGTGCTTTAAATTTTTATATCCGTTGTTGCAATAGTGGTTAGATTATTGTATAGTAATGTTGTTGCCAGTTGCTTGAACTTGAATAGTTTGAAGAAATATTGATTTGGATCCTGGCAGTCAACTTGTAGTACTTGGCTTACACTTTGCAGACTAGGATGATTTTGGTTTTATTTTAAGTTAGGATGTTAGCATAGGAACAGATAAATGTATTACATAAAGAGAAAATTGTTAGTTTAAATCTAATGAGAGGCTACAAATTGAAATTGAAGAGGTTGGTTTCTCTTTAAAGGCTGGCATTTTGCTGCTTAATACATAAAATACCTGATAAGCTATGATGCACGGATACGGATACGGGACATGGATACGACACGTACACGGATACGGGATACGACAAAATCCAAAAAAATAGGATACGGGGATACGACAAAGAAAATTTTTTAATTATTATTATATATAAATTTTTTTATAAAATTCAACTAACAATCTAAAATATGAATCGAACGGAACAGCGGAGCGGTGGCGGGGTCGGGTCGGAACAGCGGAGGTGATCGAATTGAACGGGAGTGAGCTGAGAGATTGAGAGAGAGGATTAGGGTTAGGGTTAGGGTTTTTTCTTTCGTTTGAGTCAGCTGAGGATCGAATCGAACGGGAGATTTGAGAAATAGGGATGAGTTTTTTAATCGAACGGTTCAGGTTGGATTTTAACAACCAAACCCGCAACCCGAATGAATCGGCCTTTGGCGAATCCGAGCCGTGTCCGAGCTCCTTTGACCGTGTCCGAGCCTAATTTGACCATTGACCCGTGTCGGACACGGATTGACTGTGTCCGACACGTGTCGTGCACATGTCGTGACGAATCCGTGTCCGATTCGAGTCGGACACGGATTCGTGGCCTCCGGGGGCGAATCCGTGCTTCAGAGCTGATAAGTCATATTGTTATAATAAAATGGAAGCTGAAATTAACTCCTGAATAGATACATAAACTAAACTTTATCAGATACATAAACTATGGTTTACTAACTCCGCTAGATTAAAAGATTTGTCAAATCCGATAAAATTTATCTAGTGTCATGATTGTTCTTCCATTACCTCATTGGCTATTTCCAACTCACATATAACATGACCTGATTTTCCTATACAATTTTGTTGATATACTTCTAGTTTATCCTTGTGGAGCTCATGCAGATGAACACTTGCTGCTTTAGAAACATCTCTATAACTGAATGAGCTTTCTCATTAGCAAAAATCTAAAATGTTGATTTTTTGGATATCAGATGTAGGATTAATGATTCTGACGACCTCTTGAGAATCATGTACATCTAAAATATTGATTTTTTCTTTTATGTCAAGATAAAAGAAAAACCTAATAAGCTGATGATACGTCGAATAAGTTTATCTTGCCACTCAAATATTCAAACAATAATTGTCAAGCATTATTTTATAATTTGCTATGGCTTTGTGGTTCACGATGATAAAGTGTATAAACTTTTCCTACTTCTTGTCTTTTCTCTGCTCCCTCTGAAGACATTCTGTTCTATATTGATTTGTTCTTGAGCATTGAAAAGTGCATAGTTTTGGAATGTGATTACTTTTGGCTGTTCATTTGTCCCTTGGCCAATAGCTTTATTTGACCTCATCTCAACCTTTTTTTTTGAGTGGAGGCGTAGGTTTGCTCCTTGACAGATAAGCTCAAACATTATCACTAGAAAAGTTATGTGAGTCATTTAGAAAAATTGGGCCGTTCCACTGGATAATGTAAGTAAAGATTGAAAGTAACTTTTAACACTAGTCAATTAAGATTGGTCTCAACATTTGTATTTGGCTGGGTTGAATGCTGCATAGTTTTTCTCCATCAAACCAGTGGTGTGATGACTACCTTCCAATTGGGCATTAAGGTTTTTGGCAGGGTCCTGTCGTGGAAAATAGATCTTAGAAAACTTGGTTAGTTCCTTCGTGAAGCCATCTCTTTGCATATGTAAAGTTGACATTTCAACCTTGAGTTGTCTATCTATATACTCGCGGTCCTCTCCAAGTCATATTCGGGAATAGGGATTTCACCATAAAATCTCATTGTGGTAACATGAAATAGCCAAGTGATGTGGATCAAGCAGAGTATAAGGAAAAGTATTTGGATAATTATTTGGATAAAATAGAGTAAAAGGAAAAATATTGAAATTTCACTCTTTTTTTAAATTTAAAAAGATACAAATCTTGGGCTTCTCACCCAGGCAATTCACATGCTTGACGATTTACATATCTAATACTTGATGCAATTAGCATGGATATCTCACATAAGTATTATTCTCTTCACTAAAATGAATAAGTACAATCATATTTATAGGACTTAAATAAAATCCTAATTCTAACTATAGATAATATCAACTAAAAATTGTAACAAAATAACAAATTCAATCCCAATTAAATATCTCAACTAAAAGAATAAAATCCTAAAATCTATTCTTTTAGCTGTTTTGCATCAACTGAATAAAATAAATGATGCGGGATAAATCGATGGAGATTGATTGAGAATAATTATTTGGATAAAATAAATTAAAGGCACAAAATATTGAAATTGCACTCGTTTAATTAAAGAAGATACAAATAATGAGATTCGCATCTAGAAATTCACATGCCGGGCAACTCATATGACTAATAGTTGCTGCAAGTCACATGCAACGTATCTTGCATAAACCTTATCCTCTCCTCTAAAATGAAGAAGCACAATTATATTGATAGGACTAAAACAAAATCCTAATCTTGACTATATATGACATCAACTAGCAATTTCTAACAAAATACAAATTGAATCCTAATTAAATAAAATAAAATCATAAAATCTAATCTTCTAGTTATCCTGCGTCAACAAATTATTGTGAAAAATTTGACTAGTTCTTAGTTTAGTTTTGTATCCTTGCAAATGTATTGATTCAAAATGAGCATTCATGACTTTTAAAATTTGCTTCATACTCCCTCGTTTGATGCAAAATGCTTAGATTCTGGTGATGTTTATGACTCCATTGTCCGAATCGGAGTAATCATGTTTATCAGAGCCAATTATGATATTAAAGAGAAACTTCTGTTTGAATCACTTTATTGTAACAAAAGTCTTGTTCTTATATTGTAAGAACGTATGTCAAGGCTGGATGCATTGGAAATAAGCTGTGAAGTTTAATGTCTTCATTTGTGTTTGAAGTTTAAGACCTTGTAACCTTCTTTCTGCCTAGATCTTTTGTTCCTCGTTTTGCTCTTACGATCTCTACATTGTTCTGGCAGAAAGTGGTCCCTTCCTAGATCCTATATTATAGTTTCTAATTTTCAGCTCTAAGTAGGCATCTTTCTTATTCTTTCTCTCTTTCAAATGGCAACAGGCAAACTGAAAAGCATTGTCTTTTGCACTTTTGCTTGTTCGCATCTATTTGATAAGTTGCTTCCACTGTGCATGTTATTTCCACGCAATAGTATAATATTCAACACTTACTTTGGTTTGCCGCTGCCATGGATTAACTAGATTTTGATGGATCCTGTGTCTGTTACTGTTTTCATGACTGCTTAGATGCTTGGCAAATACCATGAATATTTTAGTCAGTTGCTGAAGTAGCCCTAACTTCTTGGGAGATTTGATGATGAAGATGCATTAAATGACCACCATTTTTTGCAAAATTTTGGCTGACGGAAAATTCTGATCCTTGTATGGTTTTCTGTAAAATGCAATTTCTTCTTCTTCTCCCCTGGTTGCCCCAAGAAAGCAAACTTCTAGTTTCCTTCTCATTTTGGTGGACGTTATAAATATTTGGTTGTTCAATATACTAGAATCCATTAATTTTTGTCTGTTTTTGGCTTAGGGAAAATCTTAATGATCTTTGATTGAATTTTGAGATACTCAGATTGATGTTGCAATGATAAATGTAATGAAGACTTGAATAACTTCACTTGAATATCCTATGATCACGAACATCTTAAATGATCAGTGGCCTATTAAAATGAACTAGAAGGTGCTCTGATATCAAAGTTGTACTCGACGTGAATGTTAAGCATGGAGCTTTTAAGGTTTATTTGATGATGCTTGAATGGTAGAAGAACGGGAAACGAGAGAACACTTGCAAACGTTAGGATGTAGCCAATGTTCGCTCTCTTTTCTGAGAGGCACAGAGAAGAACCAAGAGACATAATAGTAGAAGATCTAGAAAGAGAGAAGATCAGAATCTTACCCTTCATCATAAATAAATCATAACATGCCAATCTTCACTCTTCATTTCTATTACATCAAGCTCCTATATAGGCTTCTAGAACATTAGATCATGACTCTTGCTTACTACATCTATCTAAAAAAAAACTTATAACTTTTAACTACCATGATCGTTCACAATCAAAACACGACTCTTCAATAATCATTGGCACCTAATAGTGACACCTAACAGAAAATTACCCTTACAATGCCATAACTGAAATGAAACCTCTTATAGTAAAGTTGCAGCAATTAGTCCCTTTTATTTGGTTGCATCAATACTATTATACATTTGGCTCCACTCTCCAAAAAAGCTAACATTTTACTTCACTCCCCAAAAAAGTTACCTTTATGACATATTTATCATCTTTGAATATATATTATGTGAGATAGAAAATAAATCTGGCTTTTTTACTTCACCAATGTAAGGTGATGAAGTTATCTAATTGAACTAGTGTTCTTTTTCCCGCTTCAGTAGAATAAATTCTCAAATTAATGAACAACATATAAGTAAGATGAACATGATCAGTATTTGATTTCTATCTATATCATCATACATTTAGCCTGAAATTGAAAAGTTACTACATCTTAATCTCTAACAAAGTAATACTTATTTTATGTTGTGTCTCATGAGGGAGCTTCTAATAAGCATACACTAACTATATGGGCTGCTCGTTCATTTCTTATTCAGTGAGAACTGGTTTGGAAGGACCTGGGCTTTCTGCTTCTCAAAAGCTCTGGTATTGTTTCACTACTGTAGGAGGGCAATATCTGTGGACACGTTTACAGTCATTTTCTGCTTTCCGCAGATGGGGTGATTCTGAACAGGTAACTGAATCATTCCTCTTATTGTTCTCATCAAAATATAGATTCTTTACTGTTTGAATTTGATTTAATGTGTCTTTTCTTGTAGAGACCATTGGCACGACGTGTTTGGGCTGTGATGCAAAGAATAGAGGGCTTCTATAAAGCTGCCGCTTTTTGTAACTTGCTCATATTTCTATACACTGGAAGGTACTACTGTGTTTATCATGTTATATTTGGTGCTTCAACCATTCTATCCATGTATAGAACCTATATTTTAGATCTATATAAATATTTATTGATATCAGCATATTCACTGTCCATATCCATATTGCATCAATGGCATGTTTATATACCAATATCTATATGTATGCAGATGTTTAGATATAAGTTAGATATAGCATTGCATTAGAAATTCAGATATACATAAAGATATAACATCACATTATACTTTTTGGCTTATCCGAACATAGGCTGTTCTTGAGTCTTCTATTATACGATCACAAAGCCTCATACTTGTTTTTCTCTCCACACTTATATCTACATCTATTTCGGTATCATTTTGTATAATTGTATGTATCCATATATTTATATCTGTATTTGTAATTTATCTTTTTACATGTTCAAATGCACACTCATAGAAATCTAGATATATCATTATGCTGATATATTTAGTCAGGAAATTATATAATGTAGTTAAATACCATATTATACCAACATAAAGGGGCTGTGGAAATGTAATAGCGATAACTGTTTCATAGTTTTTTGAAATCTTTGTTATTCAGGCAGATCCATAATGTGTATGATAGGCAGATCAACTTACCTTTGATCAATGTACAAATATACAAAACAACTTGTGATTTATTATATAGAAACCTACATTCGCGAACAGCAAAAAATCCCTTGTGTCGTTTTTTTTTTCAGAAAACAAGCATAAGGCAGACATGCACTATTTCAGTGATTTCCTGTTACTATCTTTGTTTATTTGTTTTGTAAAGGCTATTATTGTTACGGGTAGGTTTCTAATTTTTTATATGGTGATTAGGTATAGGAGCATTATTGAAAGAGTTCTTAAAGCGAGGCTTGTTTATGGAAGTCCCAACATGAATCGTGCTGTTAGTTTTGAGTACATGAATCGACAGTTGGTGTGGAATGAATTCTCGGTAAATATTCTCCCTTGAACTAAATTGGTAGTGTACAGTTATATGCTATAGTAAATTTTATGATCATAAATAGGCAAAAGGAGTTTGAAAATAATCTTTTAATTTGGTTTTAAAGTTTATACAGTTATATTAATGTTTTTGTTCAGGTTACCTAGATTTTGTTGAAGCTATGGAAATCTTGATGATGATAAAAATTGGTGGTACATCTCATAGTAGCACTTGAATTTCATGCAAGTTCTGAGTTTAATTAATTGACTTGAAACATATACTATATCAGAGTTCGCTTCCAATTTGGGTTTGCATCAGCCCAAAAGTTTCTACCATCTTTATACCTTTATTTCCATAAATTTTCTAGTTTCTTGTATGTCATGTTGGATAATCTTGTCCTTTTAAACACTTGGAAGTTTTAGGAGTTCAAATGATGTGTAATGACTTACATGATTAAATTAATTTGTAATGTATCAATACACATTTTTGACAAGAAAAGTTTGTTCTGTTATACCCTAAGGTCGCTATGAAAAAACCCTAGGGGGGTGAATAGGGTTTATGCTAATCTAATCCGATTTAAATGTCAATTAAAACTTACTAACAAATATATCCTAGCAAGTATGATATGCTACAAGATATGTGCAAGGATATATAATATAAACAAGGGTAAACAATATGATCATGAAACAATGGCGATATAACAATATGCAATAATAAATGCGCCAATGCCAAACCCAAACACAAGGAAATGATCACGGAGTTCGGACCTTTCGTCCTACGTCTCCGCTCCCCACTCCCGGGAAGAATCACTACACAAGCCGGTTTGGAAGCCGGAACTTCTCTACACTCGGTTTTGTAGCTAACCGAAAACTCTACACATTCGATTATCAAGTCAACCGACAACTCTCACAAATCCTCACAATGTACATACACAAGCTACAACCTCAAGTGTTGGTCCTCACGTATTGACTCCCTCAAAGTGCTCGGAATTATCACCTCTCACTAGGCCACCGACGCCACTCTCTTGGTATCGACTCCGTCCTCACCACACACTCCTCTCGGTGTACAAGTGTATTATAAAGTGAACTTCACAAAATAAGCACAACAAATGATTGTTCTCTAAACAAGGTGAGAACTCAATTAGGCTCAACTCAGTGTTACTATCTCTCACAACCCCAAATATATTATGAATGCAAATATAATAAGCTCAAGTGGGTGTGTGTAACAATGAGATTAATCAAATCTAAACTCAATATAAAACTAGCTTTAATAAGATGATAATCAAACAAATAAATATAAAGCTAGAAAAAAGTTTAGAAAACTTTTCAATAGATGACAAGAGATGGAGGGAGAATAGTTGATTGCTCAAACTCCAATAGATGATCTCCTCAAGCTCTTGTGGAATTGAATTCACAAACTCAAATTCAAAAATGCTTAAAATCTCTTAAACACATTTAAACAAAACTTAAACCCTTATTAAACTTGATTAAAACATTTTCTTAGTTGGATATGAAGGATGAGAGCAAGGGGGTATATATAGTCACCCAAAACCTCAACCAAAACCCAACTGAAAAGACAAAAAAGCCCCCAGAAAACACTGCTGGAAACTAGCCGTTACCGTGCAACGACTCTTACACAAGTCGACTTATGAGTCGACTAATGAGTCGGCTTATATGAGTCGACTCAGCTGAAGAAAAATCACAACTGCGCTGCACTTCGTGAGTCGACTAAACATGCACAGACCTGAAGTGCACAGAAAAACTCAACTTTAAACTGGGTTTAAAAATATTAAATAAATTCAGAAAAATATAAAACTTTGAAAAATAATTGTAGACATGATAATACACATGCTACAAAATCTGGTTTTCTAAAAGGACCTCCCAAATGTAAAATATCATTATTTTGCAAAATAGTTCAAAACATGAAAATGTAAACATGAGTTTTGACATTTTAGCTTAACCATATTTTGAAACTTTACAAAATAAATATATAGACTTAATAGAAGATGTATATCATTATTGTTAAGTCCATATACCAAGAAAATAATATTTTCACAAAAATACTTGTTTTGCACACTTTCAAAACAATAAACATGATTTCATTAACTAAATAAAATTGATATTGATGAAATCATATGTAAGCATATAAACATGAAACAAAAATGTATTTTCTAATTATATTCAATTGTTGTGTGTGTATATGATTGAGCTTAAAGTACCAACACACATAATATAAACCTAAACTAATGTTACCCAAGCCTGATCTTGATCTTCAATAAGCTTGACTTGGTACATATTGTGGATGAAGCTTGAACTTAGATCTTCAACTTGAATAACAAGGCTTCAACCACTATCCCGCCAACCTCCATTTGATATGATCGATATGGCGCAATCCATCCATCCTCCAACTTATTGTTTGTCTACAATAAATAACAAAACACAAACACTAGACAAACAATATTAGATGTAAATTGTTTGTTAAATCATCATCAAAACAAGAAGGCCAACATTCGATACTTCAGATGAAAGCCTTTAGAATACCAAGATCCTCTGTGAAGCAGTCTTGGGGCAGCTACCATACTCATGATGCTGAAGACATGGTTTTATCTTATAGTAGATCATCACCAGAGGAAATTTTCTAGGGGCTTATGTTTTCACATATTAGGGCTTTGGGGTTGCCTGAGATGTCAAGACAGCAAACAACTTTGGATTTTGGTGATCTAAGAATCTGTTTCAGATACTGTTTCTGGAACTGATTTACATGCTTGCTCACATGTAACTGATTTATGTAAAATTTTTATTAGTCTTTCTGAAAGAAACACACTATATTATTCCCTCTTGCAATGCAGCATGAGCCCACCTAGAAGCAGCAGAGGGGGGCGGGTGGGGGGAGGGGGGGTCCATGGTCAACTAGAAACGTAAAATCTACATAATAATTGGATGCAATTAAAGAGTAAAAAGAAACTAATCAACCTGAAGGGTAGCGCACTATCTAATCTAAGCTGCTAATGAAGTAATGTAAGTGGAGCTTACTTGTGGTTAGTATGAAGCAAAAGATATTCTCTTCTTAACTCAAAAAATAGAGGATCAATGATGTTTCCAGAAGAACTTGTATAAGAGAAGTACCCCGGTAAGGAAACAAAAGTTCACTGTGGAAACAAATTAATCAGATGCAATTCTTTCCTTCATGTTCCCTACCTTTCATGTGGACGCATATTTGATGATATGGAACAGAACAATTATGCTTTTAATTTTTTATTATAAATTTCTATCGTATTCTTTCAGTAGACAAACAACTGTAAGATATTAATTGACGACTCCCTTATCTCGGAACGAAATGAGTCTAAGGGCCACAGAAGACTGTCCAAGTCATTTACGCATTCTATTATTATGTTTCTTTGCCCGACCTGTGTTTCTCAGTATAGTTTGCTTATTACTGAACAATTTTGTTGAAAGTGATGCACTATGTAATTTACTTTTCTATGAATGTGCAGGAGATGTTGCTCTTGCTTCTACCGCTACTGAACTCATCCTCAATGAGGAAATTTCTTCTTCCCTTCTCCAAGGATAAATCAAATGGTTCTTTGAAAGATGAAACTGTGTGCCCTATATGTCATGCCAATCCTACCATTCCTTTTGTGGCTCTTCCTTGCAGACATAGGTATTTATGCAATATTTACTTTTTAGAGGGGCACAATACGTAGTTTATAATCCAAATTAGGCAGGGGTATGAAATTTTGAATGTGAAATCATGTTCTAAATCCATTTACTTTTCTACTCAGTACCTTGTTTTTTTCTGTATTGATTCTTGATATTTGTATGACGTTCCTAATTAATGCTGTCTCAAGAGTAGGCGACGAGCAAGCATTACCCATGCTTCATATTTCTGTCCTTGAGAATTAAAACTTCGTTAAATGTAGTATCGTCTTCTTTGGGACTTCTTATTATAGGTTTCTTCTTTTAGTTTTTCCTTGTTATATATTTTTTCTTATTATATTTTTTGTTCCCTTCCATAGGATTTTCCATAAATATTCTACAATGTTTATGTGTGTGGGATATTAGTACCCTCTTTCTTTTTCATCCATGAGAATTATGGAAAAACATTCTTCCTTTGGTTTCGACATGTCAACAGAGCTATCCGGGTTTGATTTTCACCGAACATTAATTTAAAGCGCGTGGGGGAAAAAATACTACTGCATGGTCTAGGTTTCAGCCCATGGAAAGATCATTCAAACTGCAGGCCATGCAGACATACTAGAATATAATACTATAACCTTCGACCCTCATCACAACTTCCGTGTGCAGCGGAAGGGACCTTTAACAAACTTATATTTCATCATTTCTTAGTAGAATTGTCATTCAGCCAGGGGACAATTTCTAATGAACCAATGAATGGGCAAATTGGGAGCTTGAAATATTTACACAATTTCTGATATCATGTTCTTAGTATATCTTTGCTTTGTACTACGGAAGTAGTTGGATCCGATATGAGCAGTAATACTTTATTTGGGAGTTTACTAAGAGGACGGAAAGTTAAATGATGGAAAAGAAAGGTAGGGAATGGAAGTGAAAAGATACCATGTGTTTGAGAGTTTAGTAAGGGAAACAGAAGTAAATTTGTTTTACCTTGTTCGGGAGTTCTAGTAAAGAGGAGGGAAGTGAAGTGAATATGTATAAAGTTACATAACTACCCTTACATGTTGGATGTGAGTATATATTAATCATTGGTTTTAATGTCATAAGGGTATAATTGTCTTATCACATTGTAAAATTTTACATTGATTTTCATTCCATCCTGTACCCCCGAATTGGAGGGGAGGAAAATAGAAGGAAATTTAACCTTCCATTCCATCCTCTAACCCCTCAAAAAAACTCCCAAACAAAATGAAATTGAAATTTCACTTTAACTTCCATCCATTAACCTCCATCCAAACAAGGTAAGTCTTTCTGTTATGGTAAGTTAAAAGGAACATATGATCATCTAGGTTTATGATATTTATAAGTGATGTCTCATGTTTTGTGTTTTTTGTGTTCTTCCGTGTGCAGACTCATTGATTCTTAAATATTTAATTGAGGAGAATAAAGTGTTAATTAATCTAAGAGAATGAGACTGGTGTTCGGTTAGCTTCCTTTGATATAGATTTATACCATTTTGAACTAATAAAGGTTCTTTTGCACCACAGATACTGCTACTACTGTCTTCGTACTCGCTGTGTAGCAACTAGTTCATATCGGTGTGCACGCTGCAATGAAGCTGTTACTGCTATCCAACGGTATGGATCAAGTGATAGTAAAACATCGAACCCTGGTTATAGAAAGGGAAATATGTGAATAGTTATTTTTGGCGTATAAAACGTGCCAGAAATGGCGTACATTCATTTACCAGACGAACCTCACCAGTGTCAGTTTCCAGGGGAAAGAAGAAAATATTGCTTTCCTCCTGTTCATTGACCAATAGTTTCTTAAAGTAGTGAAATTGTTTCACATTTTTGGTTTTGAGTTTTTTTCATTTAATTGGAAAAACGTTTGGATGAAGAAATGGCCAGGTTGTAGATCTGAATACACTTTGAAATATTAAAATGCTAATGATAAACATGCATATCTTTTGGAGGTTGATTTGTATGCTTACAGAATCGAAGCGCTCCTTTGATTTTTGTAGGGGAATGTTCTATTCTACATGAACCTAATGCTACTTCAGAGAGCGACAGAATGCTTTGGAAATTTAGTGTTTCATTTAATTCTTCAGATATTTGTTTCAACTTTTTGCATGTTTAAATTAATATTGCCTCTTAAGGGGTTGTTTGGTTTATTTCCCTAAAATTATGGAAATGAATTCCCTGACAAGAAATCAAATTTAAATTTTTTTAGGATATCTAAGGATTCAAAACTTGTGTTTGACATGGAATGATAAAGTAAATAATATGAAAGCATATATAAAACTCAAATTTGTTTTATTTTTAAATAATAAGAAGAATTGTGAGAGAAAATGATGAGTTGTTAGCGGTTTGTCAGCTTTCTAGTCCATTTCCTAATCAAAAAAGAGGAAATAGGCTGTCCAAAAAAAAAAAAAAAAAAAAAAGTTTAGAGGTTTTTTAAGAAATCTGTTCTTGAAAAAAAATGAAACGAGCTCAACTTTTGAAATCCTAAAATGATAAAAAACCTAGTTTTTGTTCCAAATCCTACAAATATATATTGTTTCCAATAATTTAGGGTGAACCAAACACGCCCTAAGGAACAATTCTTCATTACCTCTTCCTTCTTGTACCGAATTTTGGCTATTCTGTAACCTAATTAATAAAATTTATTGGTGTGATCGGAGACCTACCTATGTTTCGGTTATAAAAAAAACGCTTGGCAACATTCTCCAATTATAAATCTGCATGCTTTAATATTTTTAGAAAACAGCCTTATTGATGAAGGTTTAAAAAAAAAAGAAACTTGTGGTTTGGAAATTGGGCCTCGACAAGTATGAAGTTCTAGCATTATTAGCAGGGAATAAACTGAAATTGCATGGCATATTGGATTCGAATGAGTCATTTCATCTACATTTGGTTTTTAGATGGACAAAATTTTTAAAAGGGGCATTATTTAAATTTTATATAGCAAAACCAACCTGATTAGAAATTAATCTGCAAAACCGACCCTTTTCTTCGGAAAAGGATCGGTTTTACAGTAGCAGTGTTTTTTCGAGCTACACGGGACTGTTAGTCCCGTGTAGTTCGGCCAGCAATTAAAATGCACGGAATCAAAAAAGAGGAAATAGGCTGTCCAAAAAAAAAAAAAAAAAATAAAGTTTAGAGGTTTTTTAAGAAATCTGTTCTTGAAAAAAAATGAAACGAGCTCAACTTTTGAAATCCTAAAATGATAAAAAACCTAGTTTTTGTTCCAAATCCTACAAATATATATTGTTTCCAATAATTTAGGGTGAACCAAACACGCCCTAAGGAACAATTCTTCATTACCTCTTCCTTCTTGTACCGAATTTTGGCTATTCTGTAACCTAATTAATAAAATTTATTGGTGTGATCGGAGACCTACCTATGTTTCGGTTATAAAAAAAACGCTTGGCAACATTCTCCAATTATAAATCTGCATGCTTTAATATTTTTAGAAAACAGCCTTATTGATGAAGGTTTAAAAAAAAAAGAAACTTGTGGTTTGGAAATTGGGCCTCGACAAGTATGAAGTTCTAGCATTATTAGCAGGGAATAAACTGAAATTGCATGGCATATTGGATTCGAATGAGTCATTTCATCTACATTTGGTTTTTAGATGGACAAAATTTTTAAAAGGGGCATTATTTAAATTTTATATAGCAAAACCAACCTGATTAGAAATTAATCTGCAAAACCGACCCTTTTCTTCGGAAAAGGATCGGTTTTACAGTAGCAGTGTTTTTTCGAGCTACACGGGACTGTTAGTCCCGTGTAGTTCGGCCAGCAATTAAAATGCACGGGACTAGCAGTCCCGTGCATTTACTTTTAACCCGTGACCCCTCATTCTCTTATTTTCTGCACTTATGAGTCCTCCCCTCTCGCCCCTCTCGATTCCCTCTCTCACCCCTCCTCTCTCTCTACTCCGCCGACCCCCGCAGACCCCGCTGACCAAGCTCCTGACCACTGCCGCCGACCAACTTCCGATCAAGGTATTTTTTTTTAATTTTTTTGTTAAATTTGATGAGGGATATGAATTGGGAGTTAGGGTTTAGCCATGAAATTTGCTTTTTAGTTGAGATTTGGGATTAGAGTTTAACCATGAGTATTGTGATTAGGGTTAAGCCATGAGTAATGTGATTAGGGTTTAGCCATGAATAATGTGATTAGGGATTAGGGTTTTTTGCTTTTCAGTTGAGATTTGGGTTTATGGTTTAGCCATGAATAATATGATTTGAGATTAGGATTTTATGAATAATTTTTAGTTATAATGTGATTAGGGTTTAGCCATGAATAATGTGAATTGAGATTAGAGTTTTTAGCCATTATTTGCTTTTCAGTTGAGATTAGGGTTTTAAATTTGATTTTAAATTAAGATTAATATTTTTAGTTATAATAGATTATTTACATATGATAAACTGTTAATTTTCAGCTTCGATGGCAAACTCTATACCCATTATTTGCTTTTTCAATGGGAGCCTCGGCGTCGGATTGAATAGTATGGCTATGTATGAGGGCGGTTCTAGGAAAATGTTTATGCTATCTAAGTCATGTAATTTTGATGGAATGATGAATGAAATATACAAAGTTACTAAAATTAATAAAGCAGAGTATGCAATTAAGGTGTTTTTCAACTGTCCGATAAATAAGAGGAGAACTATTGCTGTGGAGATTACCGACGATGAGGAATTGAATGACATGAAATAATTAGTCGAGAAGCAAGTGTCAATTGAGTTGTTCATTAAGGAGTATTTGATTCACGAATTTGCCCAAGTTTCACGATCTCAAGGAGAGTTTTCTCGGATGCTTGACTTAGACAATGAGTCAAGTGGTTTTATGACATCTCCGAGTCAAGATCTGTGGTTCCAACTACAACATTTAAGTGGTTATTCTCTTGGTGAGTGTCACGCACCGCTTCCCAAATTTACCCAGGAATCGGAATATGAACAAGCCCATGACTTATTAGATTAAGGAGAATAAATAAAAATAAATATTTCTCCTCAACCTAATATGCTACGCGTCAAAAAATAAATACAATACAAATGCACAGGTCCCCGATCACAGTAGCGAGAATATAATGAACAACAAATAATAAAATAATACATATATCAAATGAAATATCATCCCATACATAATATTCGGGTCAACATGCCCTTATACATATCTGAACAAATGAATATTAAAAAATATGAAATACATTGTTCAACAAAAATAGAAGGGAAAAGACTACAAAAACAACTAGGGTCATCAAATAAGACGAGATACTGAACTTCGGCCTATTCTTCAACTTTATCTGCAAGGCACTCCAGCTGAGAATTTCCTGGCTCTGGCACTGGTACATCTCCAAGCTGGACCTGTCCTTCCTCTAAGTCTGACGTACATCAAAGAAAACAGGTGTACGTCAACGTGCATGGCACACGGCAAGACCCCACAAAAGAAAGGACGAACGAAAACCCAATACGAAAAACGATACAACAACAGAAATGATAAATAAACGTGCAATGAGAAATCCAACAAAATTAATCAAATAACAATTCGATCATGCAGCTAGCGATCAGAAATCATCCAAGTAACAATGTCATACAACTAGATGGAATTAATACTTAAAAATCTACAACAAGAGATGTAGTACGTCGAGCGAAATAATCCAAACAAGGAAACACTTATGTATATACCATATGTCTCAAATTGCAGATAATTAAATATTAACCCCGATCTATGTATGAAAAGAAAATATAACTGGCCTACATCTCACAAGAAGTCATACCTAGCCAAGAAACGAGGTCATATAACTAGCCATCCTATAACATGTCACTGGTCCATATCTTACACAGATAGGGGTGAGCACAGTTCGGTCCAAACCGAAAAAACCGACCGAACCGACCGAGGTTTAGCGGTTCGGTTCGATTTTAGTTCTAAATCTGTTCGGGTCGAGTTGAAAAATTTTCAACTCGAATTGCCCGAACCGACCGCCCTAACTCATACGCATTTTTTCATCACCCGACCCGTTCTTTCACTTGCTATAAGATCCAAGCTAAACCTAAGTCTCTGTTCTCCAAACTCAGCCTCCAGCCGCCGCTCTGTATCCCACGAAAATTGCTCCACTTCTCACAAGCTCTAACCAAATCCAATTCCATGGCGACTCCACGAAACCCCAGCAATTTCCTCCTCCTTCTCCCCAATCTCTCCCTCTCCTCAGCTCTTTGTTGGTCTTCTTATTTTGATGATGATTTACAAACAATTTACATCTAATATTATTTGTCTAGTGTTTATGTTTATTCTAGGCAAACAATATATTGGAGGATGGATGGAATAGCGATTCAACAACGATATCAAATGGAGGTTGGCGGAATTATGGAGTGAAGCTTATGCAATTCAAGTTCAAGATCCAAGTTCAGCTTCATCCACATAGTGTACCAATTCAAGCTTATTAAAGATCAAGATCGGCTTGGGTAATCTAGTTTAGGTTTTATATTATGTGTGTGAGATACTCTAAGCTCAATATCATATACACACACGTATTTGGTTTCTATGTATATATATATAGTTATATATATACATGCATGGTTTTGGGTTTTCATGTTTACAAATATGAAATTACATATTTCATATTTATTATTGTGATTTGGTTTAACTACTTAGATATGATACAAATATATTTTTTTATACATACTCATATGTTTTATTTTCTATTGTATTTATGAAAATATTGTATTCTTAGTTTTTGGACTTAACAATAATCATATACATATTTATTTTCTATTGTATTTATGAAAATATTGTATTCTTAGTTTTTGGACTTAACAATAATCATATACATATTTTATTAAGTCTACATAATCATTGTGCAAAGTTTCAAAATATGGTTTAGCCAAAATATCAAAATTCACATGTTTACATTTTCATGTTTTGGCCTATTTTGTAAAATAATGATATTTTTTTATTTAGGAAGTCCTTTTTGGA